GTCGCAGCCATGTAGAATGACCTCTATTGGGCAGGATTTGACGAGTCGCACTACGTAGCTCCCACTAAACTGTACCTTACAGCTGTTTGGGTTGGGCTTGGCTGGGGGAGTTAGTTAGCACCGCCTTATTGAGACCTTAGCACGTTGGATCGGGATGCAAAGAGAGAAATTTTGTTCTCTTGCTCGCGGGCAGAAAAATAAACCCCAACCCCTCCCACTTCTGTCAAAGAGACCCAAAATTAATTCTCTCACCGACAGTAGCATAAACAAACAAGCATCAGTCACTTGCTGTTCTCTGGCATTCCATCTGTTTTGTTGTCCTGTATTCATCTCCTCCTCTCTGTTTTTATCCCTCTTGATCGCCTTGCCTCGCATCGCACTGCTCACGCGACTGCAAACTTGGTTACGACTTCAATGTCGAATAAACGCGTCTAATCTCTCAAACAATCGACGGTTCTTCTCGATACCGTCACTGACCTTTCTTGGTTCCTTTACTGGGCTTCTATGCGGCCGACGGATCTCCTGCGCTTCCTCTTCTCTCGACCTTCCAAGTATGTTCATCACGGTATCAGGCATCACAGCATCAGAGACTGACTTACCACTTCAGGCCCCGATAGCACCCCTTCAACTACCATCCACCGATTCACATCTCTCAAGTAACCTTCTCTGCCACAATTCCGTCAAAAGAGCTCTACCACTTCATCCGCTCGCGACCCCCCTAACGTCCCCGAGGCGTTACCCCCCGATCGATCGATTGCTGCTGGCTCCGCCAGCATCTGAACAAGTCCCCGTACCTGTGGGCCTACTCTCTCAAACAGACGCCGCATAGTCTGTTTGAGCGGCAGCTAGTGCTCCGCGGACTCTGCCACCGGGCAAAGAACACTCACAATCCGCCGCCATGACCTCCGTCCCGTACAACTGCACCTTTTCGCCCGCCTCGGCTACTCCTCATCTCACTATCAACCATGATGTAGCCGCCGACCTCGACTCGACCAACGCCTTTGAAGGTCCCGAGAAGCTTCTCGAGGTTTGGTTCGCTCCTAGCCCGACGACTCTGCCTCCTACTGCTCCTGTCAATGGTCTCAAGGCAGTTCCGGCTGATACCTGGGTTCCCATGCTTGATATGGTCAATTGCAAGGTCCTGTCTGTTCTTGAGAGCGAAATGATGGATGCCTATCTCCTCTCCGAGTCGAGCATGTTTGTCTTTCCTCACAAGATCATCCTCAAGACTTGCGGAACCACTACCCTTCTTCTTGGTCTCCAGCGAATGCTTCACATCGCTGCCAAACACGGATTCCCATTCCACAATGCCAATTCGGCCGACGACATCCAGGCAGCCGCGACTCCATACCGAGTATTCTACAGTCGCAAGAACTTTCTCTTCCCCGAGAAGCAGCAGGGCCCCCACCGCAGCTGGAAGCAAGAGGTCAAGTATCTCGACGACATGTTCGACGGAGGTAGTGCCTATATGGTAGGCAAGATGAACGGCGATCACTGGTATCTGTACCTCACCTCACCCAACCAGCAAGCCCTCACGCCCCCTCGCACCCCCGGTGAGGTTGAAGGCACCAAGATCCCCGTCGGGACGTCCTTCAATGGACTCCCGAGCAGTTACCACGACGAGACGCTCGAAATCCTCATGACGGATCTCGATCCTGAAAACGCCAAGCAGTTCTATCTGTCGCACGCGAGTGCGGTCGCCAGCGACAAGATGGCTGCAGAGGCCAAGGATGCACGCAAGGAAGCCATCAACAGTCTCGGAGGGCTTGCCGAGACTGTTGACGAGGTTGACGTCTTTGCGAACGACGACGACACCATGCTCGACTCCATCGAGGCTCTGACCACTGAAGGTCACGCATTGGGGACTGTCGTCTCGGAGAGTTGCGGCCTCTCCAGCGTCTACCCAACCAGCAAGTATCCCGATGCGCGGGTCGACGCATACCTGTTCAGTCCCTGCGGCTTCTCGGCTAATGGCGTCGTCCCCCCTGAGGCTGGCAAGGGTGAGCATTACTTTACGGTTCACGTCACCCCGGAGCCTCAGTGTTCCTTTGCTTCATTCGAGACCAACGTCCCTGGTGGTCAGAGTGGACGTACCACGACTGAGATTATTGAGCATGTTGTCGACATCTTCAAGCCTGGCCGTTTCAGCGTCACTCTTTTTGAGGCAAAGGGAGCGGCCCAGAACCCATATTGCATGGGCGATGATGACTCCAACAATTGGGCTGCTAAGCGTCTTGTTGATCCTGTCCGAGGATACAGACGCATTGATCGTATTGTTCACGATTTTGAGGACTACGACCTTGTCTTTCGCTTTTACGAACGTGAAGGATGGGCTGGAACTAAGAGCGCTCGTGTTGGAGAGCCTATCAGTCCTACCAAGTGATTGCATTGACTTGGATCTCATTTGTAATTGGACTCTCACTTGACTGTCATTGTAATTGGAGAGGGAGCATGGATGATCCTGTCATTTCTGAGCATCATGTGTTTTGTTGTTCTTGATAGTTTCGCTCTTTGAGATGCTTTTGAACATGAATTTTGAATTGATCATTTTGCGACAACTTTTGCGACAGCCACCCACTGAGTGATGCCCTGTAATGATGCCTCAGAACCTAAAATTAGTGCATGCACGCTAAATTAAGCCTGTGCCAGGTGTACAAGGGTGACAAAACTCTGTATGAAAAGTAAAGTCTGTTGACAGTGCACGCTTGTGTCACAATTTTGTCCCCCAAACTCACATTTTGTCCCCAAATTCACATTTCTCAATCACCGATAACGATAAGCCTTGCACGTGATCCCAGCACCGTCAAAAAATTCTTTGCTCAATCTTTGGAGTGCTGTACGGCAAAGCTTCAGCATCACCAAAACCTCACAATCAACCACAACAACCGCCAACATGCATCTCATGTACACCCTCGACGCCCAAGGCAACCGCCTGTACACCCTCAAGAAGGTCGCCCAAGGACAAGTCACCAAGTCCGCCCACCCCGCGCGCTTCTCCCCCGATGACAAGTGGTCGCGCCAGCGCGTTACTCTCAAGCGACGATTTGAGCTTCTCTTGACTCAGCAGAGTACGTCCTCCCTCTCTCGTCCACTCTTGGTAAATTACTGACCGATTTCTGCAGAGGACGAATAAATCACACATGACGGGCGTTACGGTTCAGTTTGGGCGTTAGACTAAAGGTCTCATCAATACAACTACTAGTGCTTCTTCTTCGAGTTTACATTTCGTCCCGCTCCCACGCGAATCTTTTGACCGCCTCCTGCACGATGCCCCGTTAATAAATCGGGTAGATAATCCTGATCCATGATGTCCTTCTTCCTCTGACGTCTCTGCTCCTCTCCCGCGCGTGTAAACTCCTTCTGATCCTCCGCCAGAATGAGATTGTTTCCCCAGCCATTCTTGCCGCCTGCGTTCTTTGGGAGACGACCATTCGCAGATCCGTGAACAGGCTTGGGAACACTGTAGACATTGCCACGATTGTTCCACTGAAAGTTCTTCTTGAGATGGATCTTGAAGTTGCCGTGCTCATCGGTCGAGCAGCTCACTCTGTTGAGGGTAGGTTGGCCGCAGGAGGGACAGAATTGCTTGTTCATCTCCTTTGTGATCTTGAAGCAGCCGTGGCAGCGTAGAACCCAGTTCTTGAGATGTGTGATTCGTGCGAGGGATGGGGCGACGAGGTTGAGGTTCATTCGGAGGGCGACGTTTTGCATGGCGTAATCGGATGTGAGGACTGCGGCTTGGAGGGTCTTTTGGACGGGCGCTGAGGGTGTCGCTCCGGTGTCTGCTGCTTGGTGCTTCTTGAGGTTTGAGGGTGTGATCCAGCCGCCTTCGTCGTCAGAGGCGTCGCCGTCGGATGCCTCTTCAACGGCCTCGATTGTCTCGTCGGCCTTTTCGCCAGCCTGCGCAGTCTCTGCGGTCGCAGCGTCTTCAGTCGTATTTGTTGCGGTCTCGGTGACCTCTGTGCTTGACTCATCCTTAGACTCTGGCTCAGCGACAGTCTCTGCGACAGTGTCCTTTGCCTCTGTAGACTGACTGTACTCTCCGACCGTGGCCTGCTCAACAGGGTTCTCGATGGTCAGATTGTCAACAGCCTTCTCAAGACTCTCCTCAACCTTCTCCGTCTCAGCCTGAGTCTTCTCATCCTCAGCAGACTTGTTTGGCTTCCCATTCAAACCCTTCTGACCAGGCGTCTTTCTCAATCTCCAGTCACCTCCATTTCGCTCACATTCCAACTCATACCCCAGCGCCAAGACGTCAATATCAGGCTTGCTCAGCACAGCCAAATCTCCTGTTCTTCTCGCAAAGTCTCGAATGACCTTTACGCTCTCGGGATTGGGCGATCGCAGGGTGATGAAGGGTAGAAGCGTGGTCTCTACTCGGGCTCGTGTGGCGGCATCTCGAATTTCGGAAATAATGCAGGGGAGGGTGTAGAGTTGTTCAGCTTTCGCGCGCAGAGTATTCGCGGGGGGGTCGTTCTTGATGAGAGGGCCTGTATCAAGGACAAGGCTGTGAACAGGCTTGTGAGCCGCTACGTCTGAAGACATGATGATGGTTATCCAGTGTTTGGGGATTTAGATTGGCGATAATTTCTGTGGTGTTCATCGCGGGGCAAATTTGGAATTTTTGGAGAGATAAGAGATAAGATAAGATAAACATTTTGTCACTGCACGTAAAGACCTGTATAAATGCATCAGTTGGCAAAACATTCCCGCTTTCTGACAAGGAGAAATACATCATTGCATTTGGTAGTTTATTCTTTGAAAACCCGAAGCCACAAAAAAAAAAAAAAAAAAAAAAGTCTACGGGATCCTTGTCGCCACTCCATCATCCTCAGAACTATTCGTAGGCAACTTAACTCACTTGGCCACCAAAATGGCAAATCTGGCTGGGGTTTTGGACTTGCAGGCGGCCGACCCGTAGAGGCAGCAAGGCTGACTTTATGCAAGCTCGCGTGAATAGAGACTTTGCCAACAGCTATTCGATCCTCACAAACGCCAACATGAGCGAGACCTGCAAATACTGTGGCTCTTGTGTTGACACTTCTCAAGACGAGAACCGCTCGCACAAGTTCCGTCGTGCAATCACTAGACCAGTCGAGGCTTATATAGTTGGCGCAGATGCGGGTTGCTGGCATTGCGCTGCCCTCCTCCAATTCTTCGAGGAAAAGGGAAGCAAGAAGGACTATATCTGCCAGAGCAATCAACAAGGCCTTGGAATATTCTCGCAAGATGTTCCATATGACCTTTTTGATGGGAAACACCTCCCTGATATTGATATGAACGTCTACCGGGTGACTATCGAAGGCACTCCAAGCGCTGAGTCAAAGTTGGCACCTATTGACATCCCGGTTTCCTCAAAGTCTGACGAGTGCTTCATGTGGATTACGGAGCGATTACACGAATGTGAAAACGCGCATGATTGCTGGAATTCCACAGACTTGAAAGCACCAAAGCGTCTTCTCGAGATAAGTAACGACAGACTCATCCTTCGAACCAACATCCTCAAAGAAAAGTACGCAACGCTGAGTCACTGCTGGGGAACCCTGAGCTCAGCTAGCATCAAGCTACTTAAGAATACCTATAGCAATTTCACTCATGACGGCATCGCACTTGGTGATATTGCATTAACCTTCCAAGACGCTGCAGATGTCTGCAAGAGACTCGGAATCCAGTATATTTGGATTGACAGTTTATGCATCACCCAAGATGATCCTCAAGATTGGTTAGAGGAGTCTACCCACATGGCGGACATATACGCAAATACCTTTATCGGATTGTTTGCCGGTCATGCAAAAGATGGCAATGGCGGCCTTTACTCCAATCGCTACGATCCCGAGCCGTTCGTGACTGTGGAGAAGATTCCCGTGAAGGACGATCGTGGTCAAAAGAGAACCATGTGTATCCAGCAACAGCGCCTGATTGGCCATGATCTGACCTTCTATTTCGACTTGTTCCCCGACTTTCCTTCTTACGAGTATCGTCAGCTACCCACTGTGAAAGAGCCACTATATCAGAGAGGTTGGGTCTTCCAAGAGCTCCATCTCTCACCACGCGCAATCCTCTTCAACAGCACAGAGCTCACATGGGTGTGCAACCAGCACGCGCAGTGCGAATGTGGCGAGACGACAAAGAACATCTTTGCCACCAAGTATTTCTTCACCCGTGTCCCAAAGACTGCTGACTATCCGGGTGCAGTCAAAGGAGATCTCTTCTATAAGCACTGCATGAGGAATTGGGCACATCTGGTCCACCGATACTCTAAGCTTGGACTCACATTCGAGAAAGATCGTCTGCCCGCGCTATCTGGAATGGCCAAAGCTTTCCAAACGATGGGCAGCGCTGAAATGAAGAATGACGTGTACCTGGCAGGAATTTGGAAGAGCATGCTGCCTGAAGCTCTACTGTAGAGAGCAGTAGACGGTCCTCCAAGCGGTCCTGTCCGACGATGCAGATTCAGAAAACCCGTCGTGGCAAGAGGGCCGCCAACTTAGTCGTGGATGTGCTGTGACTTTACAGTGCACTGGCAAAACAGCTATTTTGGCTCAGACTATCTAGTTACTGTTGAGGATGCGCAAGTTGAGCTTGGCAGCATCGACAGAGCCGGCGAAGTTGCCAAGGGCCATATCGTTCTTCGCGCCGTCCACATCGAAGAGGTTGCGATGGTATACCCTGACGATCCGAGTTTTAGAACCAACGAGTATACCTTGCGAGATGAATACATACGCAATAGTAGTACTGAAGAGCTTGTCAGTCTGAAGGATAAGGACTGTCGCTTTTCGTTTCTGCCAGACTATGACTTTACGGACAAGAGTCTTGGGGGTTTGTACATCCCGCCATCGGAGACGCTCTACTGCATGCCTGTTGTTGGTCTGGATGGATACTGGCCGTTCTCGGAAACTTCTCTTGTCTTGAGACGGCATTCGAGAAGTGTAGGGTTTGGAGACACGCCTGATGTGACTCATGGGTATGAAAGAGTTGGTATTTGCGACGGCCAGATTATGTATTCTGTCAAGAGTAAGGAATTTGTGCATCGGATAGTCTTGGTTTGAGAACACCTAAGTAATAAATACTAGATTCTACGGCTTCGAGTCACCCCCTTGGAGGAGCCAACGAAGCTGTGAAGATGATCGGGGGGTCATCAGAAGAGCGGAATTCTTTCCTTTAGCTGTGATGATGGAATCTGGTGTCTCAGAAGTCTGAGTAATTATCGGGTTCATCACCCTTGCCAAATAACTAGCTAGTTCAGTTGCTTTCCAGCCGGCTAGGGCGTTTGGATTTAAATGCAATAGGAAAGGCCAAGTTCATCGGCAAGGTTAAACCCATCGAGGCTGTGCATAACGTGCATTATTAATTGTTGCTATGGAACTGATGTCGCCATTAATTGTTGCTATTGAATCGATACCGCCATTTAATTGTTGCTATTAAACTCATATTGCACCATACCTATTCTCACAGACATTGACACGAAGGGCGTTACACCGTGTCTCGCCAGTGACTCTTTTTCACAGGGCGCGGTCGACATGACCAGGTGGTGGATTAATAATGGAGAATGCCGTCGAAATTTACCGTCATGGTCTCGGAGGGTCACCCGAGGAAATAGTCTGGTCTCGCGTAAATCTGTGGCTTTTTTCGCTGGCTGTGACTCGAATTATCAAGGCATGCTATTTCTGCCGACGTCGGATTCAGCCGTAAGACGGGGGATAGATGATGATGAGTCTGACAAATGTAAGATGAGAAACAAGTGCAAACTATGAGCTACAGAACAGCGGAAGTTAACAGTAGAGACAACAGAGACAGAGACAGTCGATGAAGCTGTGAGAGAAAAACTTCTCATCACTCGATTTTTACGTACAAGACCCCGCTGTAAATCCCCAGTGGTCATCTACAGAACATCTCCAGTGGGTCCATCTCCAAATCCCCAATTCTGAAGCCCAAGATCATCATCTCTACAAACTTATCAATCGGATAAACGGGTGTAAGCACGTCCTCAAAATGACGAAAAATAAGCTTAGCTCTCCACGGCTTAAATTCCGCTCAAAAATGACTACGCCATGATCTATTTCCAGGCCGGGGTTGGATCGGATGGCACCCTTTTTTTTTACATGCGCCCTACAACATGTCAACAAGCTAGGCCTGGTATGGATGGATGGATCAGTCAATGGGTCAATCACAACAGGGCGCAGAGGAGCAGACACAGATATATAAATCCTGGGGGGTCAGCTGAGTTGGATTTTGGTCAATAATTCTCATCACCGAGCTTCACTTTAATTTGCTTTCGACTCTGAACTCTACAGCTACAATGGCAACCAAGGCTCCGTCGTTTGTTGACGTTCAAGTCACAAAACTACCCAACACTCCCCCAGAGTATGAACACCTCGGCATTCATCGAAACGCAAGCATTCATCCTTGGGGCTCAGCACATGCACTGGCATCAACGCTGAAAGGGAAAATGACAAAGAAGCCAGAAGTGCAAATCCTCATCAACGGCCACTTCAACTCAAAGGTGTACACCACCAACTCTGAAGTCTCTGGCGTCGTCAACATCACACCTGCTAGAAACACCCGCTACGATCGAGTCGACATTTCTCTCGATGGACTTAGCGAGACGCGAAGGGATGGCCCTGACATGACGCACATGACATCCCATCGATTCCTCCGCCTAGAGATGCCAATCGACGAGTATCCTAACAACGTCCTTGAAGCTGGCGTCACTTATACTTTCCCCTTCATCTTCAACATCCCAGCTCATCTCTCCTCCAAAGCATGTACCCACAAGACCAACTCCGAAGACGTCTGGGAACGACACATGGCACTGCCTCCAACGCTCGGCGGCTGGGAAAAGGACGACATGGCGCCTGACATGGCGCGAGTGACTTATAGCATCAAAGCCTATGTCCTCACGCGAGCTAAGCAAGGTTTCAACATTACTCTCGGCAACTCCCATACCATCAACGTCATGCCGACATCCTTCGAAGAGCCTCCTATGAACATCACCGAGCGAGACGATCTATACAAGATTGAGAGGTCCAAGAAGGTCAAGAAGAACATCTTTTCTGCTTCACAGGGTCGAATCTCTGCAGTGGCGGCTCAACCAGGTGCTGTCCATCTCACCAAGGAGGGTTACGAAGCTACCGGGTCTTCAGTTCCCATCAGCTTAACTTTTGAGCCTTCTGCCGCTGATGTGATTCCCCCGCAATTTACATCTGCTTCCCTCAAGATCCAATCACATACTTGGTTCCGCGATCAACCAATGATGAACCTACCAACACAAGGATCTTCAATCGCAAACTTTGGCTATCCATTCTCTGTATCGCTCCCTAAAACCTCCCCCAAGGTGCAATGGACTCAGAACGTCGACATGACAAGCACCAAGGATTCGCCCGTCTTTCACACAGCTACAGTCGAAATCCCCTTCCAACTGCCTACAGCCGATAAAATGTTTGTGCCAACATTTCACTCCTGCATTGTTTCACGAGCATACACCGTCAAGGTCGTGTTGGAGGGCGATGTCAAGATGGACCTGACCGTCCCGGTTCAAGTGGTGATGGGAACACCCGATGTCTAGGAAACTTTCGTTAGTGTTGCTTTGGGCTAGTTTGGCGTTTTCGGGATGCTCCAGTTTGACGAGAGATGAAAAGATATCCAGGCGAGCATTATCCGATAGAGTGAGATTTATTAATAGTAATTGTTTGTCATGATCCGTTTCCCGAGATCCACTGTGTAGCTGAAAGCTTGGATTGTGCCGTGTCCACAGTCTGCGTGTCGCCAAGATCAGATGCAGACCGTGGGATTTGTCTGGGGTAAGATTGCCATGTGCGGATGAGTGAGCGTAGTTGAATCTTGTAAGCATGGTGGATGCATATAACGCGTCGCGTTGGCAGTTGAGGATTCGCGTCGCGATTTAATGAATGCGACGCAACCAATCAGATGACACCAAGACCACACAATGAGACACAGCCAGACAAACCGTTACCAAAATATCTTGGGGAAATCCCCGACCGTTGCGTAGATGAGCCGCATTGGAGCCGCCACTGCCGATAGCGGCCGTTCAATCTTACATCAGCGGGAATAATGATGAAGCTGTTAGATGGGATTTAACTCCGGACTTGAGAATGCTGCTAATAAGCGGGTAGAGAGGTTGATGAGGTTACAATGCTGAACCGAAGCCTGCGAAATGTAGGGTAAGATGGTGAGATCTGCTGGAGTCAGCATAACGCGATGTCAACGTCACGTCTATCCATGTGTCAGCGGCTGGTACGTGTTTGAGGCCAGCTCGACAATTGAGCACATTAATAAAAGATGAATTATTGACACTACAAGTACTACCATAGCAAGAGTCGTAAGAACTGCCCCTCAACAATAACGCAGATGTCGAGACTCATGACAGCGAATAAACAGGCTAAGCTACCCTACACGTATAGTACGTCACAGTCAGATGATCGGCATTCTCATTACTATTCTAGTTGATCCTGCATAAACTAACTTTTTAGTCCAATTTCACCCGTCAACTACCGGCCCCTACGGAATACTGTACCTTCTCTAACCTCTCTAGCCTGTCTGCCTCTCCGAACCCCAATCTCTCACGTACAAATAAACTCCAACTCCAAGTCTCAAACTCTCTCTCTCACGATACTCTTCATCCGTGCACTCGGGGTCGGCCGTTTACGGATGCCTTGACTCGGGGATTCCATTAGGAATAGCAATCACATCACAGATCGCTGGTTTCAGTGGGCCAGCAACTCCACAGCATTACGAGAGAAATACTTTTGTCGACCAATGCGCTCCGCCATGACCAATGGGTTCTGTTTCAATGACGGATTTTAATCTGGTGTTGGAGTTTATCAAGATAGGCCTGTTAGATAGGCGATGCGAATGCATTGATCACTGTACAACCCCGAATACCGAAGCCAGCGTTTCGCGGGAGATGAAGGCATTTGCAGAGACAGAGACACAGTGAATGACTGACTTACAGCGTGATGTCACTAAAGTCGCCTATTTTAATCAGGCACTACAGCGCGTGTTCATCGTATTAGCGGCTAGATCATCCCCCAAGGTCAAGTGACTTAACCGCGCCTCGATCACCAAATACCTCAGTCCCCCAAACCCTCACGCTCAAGCCATAATATCCCACCCAATATCGTACCATACATTAAGCTCCTTCAAATCACATCAACATGCGCTATCTCGAGGCCACGAAAGAAAAAAGACTCAATGGTCAATGCTTGGCGCCCCCCTGCACGCCTTTATCATTCCCCATAACCCCCAGTCGCCACCCCTGACTAGTACACCTTCGAGAACATTTCGACGGGCGGCAGATTTTTTCCCGTTCTCTCCAGGCAGCCAAGCCAAGCCATTTTTGCAAATTTTTCGGACGCGATCTGTATGACACTCGTGCGATAAACAGCCACGGATCCGACTTGGCAGAGAAATGCCGATCGATCACAAGCCCGCGTCTATTCCCGCCACGACTCCCGAACGTAGGTACGTGTTGATGAATTGCTTGCTTCAGCGTCTCCGCATTCTCGTACGTAACAAAACCCATCCTCTCCTCAACCTAATCTCTCCCCTTTGCGGAGTAAATCTCTGGGGACAAAACGCGGGTCTGCGATGATGATGAAATTTGGTAATACGTAGAGGGACGGAGAGTTTTATTGACTAATGCAAACATGGCTGCAGCCAAGCAAGAGGCTCTGTTGCGATCCACTTTAGGTAATCGAAAGGTTTTGGTGATCCACTGTAGGCGCACACGAGCTCGAGCCTCATGACACGGAGTTTCGGCACCGTGAGAGCTTTTGCTCACAGAGAGACGAGAGGGAGTCTGGGGTCTGGGGTATTAGGTTCTGGTGAGGGAATTCGAGGTGTAAGAGAAACAGGGTTCGTGGGTTTATGGTTCAGATTCGTAGGTCGCCTCCGAAGAATGGTGGGACTATCTCGACCCACTGGTATACTACAAAGATCGGCCTCATTCTCGGTCTCTGCTTATCTGTCTTTATAATAGACGTGTTCCCTCTTTGTCTGTCCTCTCTTCTCCTCATACTCTCTATACTCACCTGAGTAGACAACAACTACATACACATACACTTATACATACTTACACTCATACATATACATACACATACACACCATGGACCAAATCAACACAGCCCAAACGGCTCCAACAGACTC